TTCCATATCAGACTGATAGCGCATGTTTTTAACAAAGCAGTGCTATGCAATATGTCAGCAGCATTTTTAGTCATTAGAAATCAGCAACAGCGCCGCTCTGTTTACTCACTTGTGTAATTCATTATTGTCATTCTCCATCACTTGACAAATCTTGCACTATGAATAGTATGTTGCATGTACTTGGAGCTAGTGAAGATGCTTTTCATAACAGAAATGTTTTTCTGATTACACAGAAGGACAACTACAGGCGTAACTAACGACATTAGTGGCAACGCTGCTCTGTAAACTCATCCCAGTGAGCTGTGCCAATGAGCCAGCATACACAAAACTAGGACCTTGGAACAAATATGCCTAAATGGAACAGATCAGATTGTCTGTTGCACAATGGGCCAGTTTTTATTACAGTAGAACAAGACTCTCAGATTCTGATTATTATTTATTCGATTAGAATTGATTAAATATGGGTTTATTTAAAAGGTTGGGGGTTCTTTGGCCTATGAAAAAATACTCAGTGAGACACTGTGGTGTTTTGAGTGTGCAAGTGTTGGGGAGTCCATGCTTAGACAGCTTAGTACCACTCCCTGTTGATTACTAAAGTAACAAAAGAGCACAGGCAGTAATCCAAGGCGGTTTAGCATTGTACGCACAAACATGAAGATGTGCGCGCACACACACACACACACACACACACACACACACACACACACACAATTGCACGCTATATCTTAGCTTAATCCAGAGCTGGAAGGCCCTCTGTCCTTAAACAACCTGATAAACAGGACCCCTGGTGATGAAGATGATGAAGAATGTGCTTTGTGTGTGTGTGTGTGTATTTGTAATCTGTTCTTGGTCAACAGTGCCAAAGCACACTGTGTTGTTTGCACAGTGCGGTCGACAATAGTGCTGGATTAGGAGCCCCACCTATGCCTTGTTTGTGTTATTAATCAGGTTTATTTTACCTGTCCGGTTGCCATGATTTATTATCCACCTAGTTGTCATTGTTTGCAGCTTTGGCAACGAATATTAAGTTTAAATACACAAACGTGCGGTGTTTATTAAATCTGATTAAAGAGTAAATTAGCACGGTTAAAACTTCATTCATGGCTGCATCATAGCTAGTTGATAATAGTTCGTTTTTTTGGTTTTTTGTAATCTTCTGTCAGTAATAACACACCTGTCAACGTTACTGATAGGGTGTGGGCTCTGCCATTGTTTCACACAGTGAGGCGAAGTTCATGTGCAATGCCAGGTGAGGGCACAATACAGGGAATATCGCACACTGGGACTTCTTGTTTCCCTTTGCGCATGCACTCTTCATCGTGTTCAGGTTGTTTTTATATTGCACGTGCAAGTGGTGCAGTGACCTGGTAGTTGAATTTCCATGGGGGCAAGCTGACACCAACAGAGGCAGAGTGTGTTTTTATGTAGTGGCTGATCTACATGTATTGGCTTATTGGCTTGGCTCTGGATATATTAACCCAAGTGAAAAGACTAAAGTGGATTGAACAAAGAGGAGATCATGACGGTTGTAATGCAGTTGTATTTACTATAGGCACCAGTGGCAAACTCACAATCAGAATCAGTTAATTAAAATTGGATGATAAGAACAAATGCTTTAGTAAATTAATGTAACTACATCATGGTGTAAGGCAGTAGAGTACCGTACAGAATGTGCAGCTACTAGACAGCCAGTCCTTTGGTTTAGTTGGGGAAATAAACATATGCGTTTTGATTAGAGAGAGAAAATGATTTACATCTCAGGAAAAATTTGCCTGGGTAGGGCTCTGCACTTTATTTTCCTTGCAAATGAGGCCATTTTAAAAGAAACAGGCGGCTGACAGTTTGTCCTTCTAGACATTTAGTCTATCAGTGTTGCAGGACAACCACTTATAGGAACCTCACCATTTTATGAAATAGCATATGCATCCATCCATCTATCCATCCTTTAATGTATTTCCTTTGCCTCACACACATATACAGAGCCATGCACTTTACAAAAAAAAAAAAACATCAATATTTGCAGCCAGAGGCTCTTTGCTAGCTGAGTATCAAGAGTTTAAAAGATATTCAGCAGCTAGATGCAGGCATTGTGCAAACGAAGCCCACAGTATGAAGAAGGGCCATATTAATAGACAACACATTGAGAGTAAGAGAGAGAAAATGTCCTTTAACTGTCCCACTTAGTGCTGAGCTTCACTCAGGGGGCTGAAATGAGAACCCTATTTAGACAGAGTGGGGAGGGGGATAATAGGGTGGGTGCTTCTTCTGTTGCATGTGTGCATGTGTCTATCTTCTTCCTCACAGAAGTAAGGCAGTGAAATGCACAATTAGGTTGTGAAGAGAGCACATGTTGCATTTTCGGACCACCTAACCTACTAAACCTACTGCATAAAAAGTCAGTTCGTGTTACATATGGAGCTACCATCTTAATTGTATTATAGTTAATAATTAAACCCAGTTGTTTTCCCTCCACATCTATTCAAATGCAGCACCGTGGATGCATTATGTATGCTGCAAGATTTACGATAATGGTCTTGATTGTGGATTATATTAATATTGTCATATTGTCTATACTGGCTTTAATAATTTACAGACATTTGAATGGCTTAAGCGGCATAATGATGTACATTTCCGCACAAAGAGCTGAGCAAAATCCTTTGTCTCATCATGTGATAACTGAACACACTCATCAGTCTCTGCTCATCAATCCACCAGCCATCTGCTGCTCAGAGTCAGCTTCAAGTCCATCCAATAGCCAGCTGACCTGCTGGCGTGGCTGTGGGGCATTCGGCCTCGAGTATCTGATGCACCTGAAAACCTGCGCGCTGAGTGACTGGCAAGCAGACCGGCTGGGTGACTGATGGGTGGGGTGAGCGGACAGATTATCTTTCTGATTAGGGGAGAGCATAAGGAAGATATGCTTCAGTGCTTCACTCTGGGGAAACCCTTAAAATGTGTTTGTGTGGGTGTGAGCATGTCTGTGGATCTATGGGTGTGTGTCTGTGTGTGTTTGTGTGTGTGTGTGTGTGTGTTGCCTTGGGCTCATGAATGTAGACATTGTTTGATAGCAGTGGGCTGGAAGAGGAGAGCCTGTGCCCACAGCGACTGAAGAGGAGGAGGAGAGAGAAAAGGAGAAGAGGGGGGTGGAGGAAGGAGGGGAGAGGAGGTTCGTAAGTGGGTCGGGGTATAAGGGGAGATTTATGGGGGGTTGGGAGGATAAAATAGGCAGTAAAAAGAGCACCCACAGTGGATCAAACTCAGCACGGAAGACAGGAGAACTGAATCTACTGTAAGTGAAGATGACATATTTTGGGAGACACAAAATGATCAGAGAGATGAGGAGCGCCCATTCGAAAACATTTCATTTTCATTGTAAAATCTTAATTAACACATGTTAGCATTAGACTTTTGCAGAAATACATTTTATGACTATAATGAAACACTTGGGTAATATATATAAAGAGAAAGAAGAGGACAGCAACAAAAGGCGACAAGTTAAGACTACACACTGTCTTATCCTTCCATTGCTTAACACTTAATTGTTCTGCGTGCATGCAGAAACTCTTCTGGTTGTCAAGGTATGTGCTAACAGTACAGCTAATGTGAAAAGAAAGGTTGTACGGTCGGCTGCGTGAGTGCTAATGCACAGCCACAAATGCAAACAAACTGAGGATGACAGGAAGACAGTTACAAGTGCTGTCATTGCTCTGAGACACCTGCCCGTGTGTGTCCATTTGGAAAAGGTCTCGAAGCCATATGGCCTATATGTCTGGATCAAACTGTAGTGGAGTGTGTGTGTGTGTGTGTGTGTGTGTGTGTGTGTGTAGTGTGTTGTGCGGGGACTTGTTTGCACCATCAAATTTTGGGGACTTGAGTCCTCATAATGCAAATCAATGATACTTTGCCTAGTGCTAGGACTAATTAGTGTATGTTTATGTTACATCCTTTCATGTGATGGAAACATGACTTTGTCGGTGTGTTTGTGTGTGTGCAACCGCACCAAAATATTTTTTTCTAAATCCATATCCCAGCTTAAGCCCACTCATACTGTTGATCAGCAGCTTGCGTATTTGAGTCCCCTAATTCAGGCTTCTGATACGCTTATTTTCATCTACTTTGAGCTTTTCCTCACTCACATTCAGATATAGCCATACGCACAGTGCTGGGTGCAGCAATAAATTTGTAATGTCAAGCTACTCTTTGCTCAAAGCCTTGATACGACTTTCCTCACAGGAGGATACAGTAAGACATATCCTCAAAAGAAAATTTCATTTGCAAAAGTTATAATGTTCTGCAGTCTGCTTTCACTTGTTTGATTTACCCCATATTCATGGCTCGTGTTTTACAGAAATGTATAAAAATCAAATCCAAACAAGTATGCAAGCAGTCTTTATAATTAGCCTTTCCCCCCATCTCATGACCCATTGAGAAAGAGCTCACGTAAACATATTGAACTCATGTCTAATCCTTCATAATGCATTGGTGGATGTGTGTGTGTGTTGATGTATTTACCAAACACCCTGAAACATGTGCAACACCGATGCGCACATGCAGGGATGGAGGCAATGAATCGCAGGTTTGTGAAATGATGAACAGTTAAAAGAAAAGAGCAAACAGTGCATCGGTGACAAGCAAGGTGGAGGAAGAGAGGAGGAAGAGGATGGGGGAGGGAGTGGAGGACAGACACTGGCGCCCCGCCAACGTTGACGAAAGCTGCTTAGCCCACCCAGTTGCCATGGATACAGTGAGGAGCAGCACCCAGCATGCATGTGTGTGCCTGTGTGAGAAAGAGAGAGAGAGAGAGAGAGAGAAAGAGAGGGAGGGGAGGGAGGGAGGCAGACAGAGAAAACCAGCAGGCAGGCGTTAGAGCAAGTCAGAGTGGGAGTGAAAGAGCACCAGACAGCAGGGTGGAGGGAGAGAGAGAGAGAGAGAGAGAGAGAGAGAGAGAGAGAGAGAGAGGGTGAGTGCATGTGTGGCCAGAAAGAGAGAGGCGAGAGAGGCAGCTAGAGAGCTCGAGGGAGACGATAGAGTGGGAGCGATAGAGTGCTAGATAATGGAGGTGCAGTCGGAGTGTGTGGAGCCTCCTGTGGCCCCTCAGTGTGACCCCCAGCCTACAGGGAAGATCAACAAAGCTGCCTTCAAACTCTTTGGAAAGCGACGCACTGGCTCTGGGATGGCCAGCTTCTTCTCCTTCAGGAACAAAGGGGCTACCAACAGCGGAAACAACGGGAATTCTGACAATGGGAATTCTTTGAATGGGAACAGCTCAGCAGCATCGGTGGAGCTTGTAAGGAGCAAAACCCACGATGGACTAACGAGCACTAACAACGATGCTGATGGACAGAGAGGGGAGGGGCTTGCCACACTGGAGGCGGGGCCGGTGAGGTCTCTCAGCAAATCGCTGAGTTTCTTCTCTCTTCTCCGACGTGGGAGTTTTAGGTCAAGTGAAAATGGAGGGGCGGGGCTTGTCAGAAGAGGGAGGGGCCTCAAGGGCTTTTTTAGCAGCATGCGATGGAGACGTAAAGAAAAAACTAACGAGGGAGATGGGGAAGAGGTGGAAGCTAAGAAGGAGAAGGATGGAGAGGTTGCTGACTCTGAAAAGGTAAAAGATATTACTCTCACCCTTGAGCCACCTCCGCATCATCACCAGGAGGACTGTGGGAATGCAGAAGCAGGACATAACCTCCGAGCAGCAGAGACTCCCACTACTAGTGTTACCATGACACCCCCTCACTGTGTTGCCATGCCAGGGCCATCTGGAGAGCCAGACTCCCCGTTTCCTTACACACCTACTGACTCACCACTGCGCCCTTCCATCCAAAAAGCCAAAGCCTCAATCTCCAGCCTCACCCCCTCCCTTGCTACACCCCCTTTGGATCGCTGCAGCACAGGCGACCCACCCTCGGAGCCATCAGTGGACCGACTCTGCTCTCTCCTCTTCACTGACGTCACATCCCTCAAGAGCTTCGATTCTCTGACGGGCTGCGGTGACATTATTGCTGATGCAGACGAGGAGGGGCCAGTGGGTAATGGGGGCAGTGGCACCAGCAGCAGCAGCAGTGGGGGAGGAGGGGGGAGTGTGGGAGCCAGTACTGGGAGAGCAGTTGGTATCTCCAGCGCCGCATCTCGCAGCTCCCCATCTAAACCCTCTGTACCTTCCCAGTTGACCCAGCCCATGTTCTCTGTCTCCGCAAGCTCAGTGTCTGCCTCCCTCCCGGCCCGCACCCGGGCACCTCCTCCACCGCAGCAGCACCCAGCCGGCAGTGGTGTGGTGGCCTACATGGGTGGAGGGGAAGAAATGGCAAGCCCAGAAGGTGTGGATGACGCTGACATGCAGGGTCTCTGGCACATGCTGCCTTCTACGGGAGACAACTCCCCGGCATTGCCCCGATCACATCAACCTTCATCCACTACCCCTACTTCCACTTATCCCCCTCGCACCAACCCTGCCAGCAGCCACCTTCCCTCAGCCTCCCGGAGCGCAGACAGAAAGGTACCCCAGGTGAAGGCATTAGGACTGAGTAAGATTCCAATAGTTGGTGGGGCAGTAAGCAGGGCAGCTAAACCCCCTCTCCCTCACACGCATGGCCGTCATCCTACATCACCTGGTGAAAAAGAACCCCTTAGTGATGAGGGCTACTGGGATACACCCTCAGCAACTCCTACCGCAACACCTGATGAAAGTGGGCTGCAGCGGGACCAAAAGATGGCCCTATCACGTGACAGTTGCTCTGGAGACCACCTGTATGACCTTTACAATGATCCTGAGGAGGAAGGAGAGGATCAGGAGGGAGATGAGGATCTAAACAGTACTCCCTCTCCATCTACTGAATACAAAATGAGCCCAACCTCCCAAACAACTCCCCCTTCCTCCTCCTCTTCTTCCTCCTTCCGATCAATGAAAGGCAGCACCAGCCTTCCCCGAGAATCCAAGATCCCGGTAAGCAACAAACAACAAACATCACCTCCTCACTCCATAAGCCAGTCAGCCCTGTCATCTGTTCTAGAGGCTGAATCCCCCGCACCAAAGACCCAAGCGCCTCCCCCGGTTCGCACCAGAATCCCTGTATCCAAGGTACCTGTCCGTCGCTCTGGAAACAAACCTGGCAGCACAACCAGAGGAGCCTCCCACAAGAAGTAGTGTCTGTCAAATGACTGCTTCTCTCTTGCTAACTTTTGGACTTAGGTGCACATTACTACAGTGCTGTTTATGCAAAGCCAAAAGTTTTCCCACACCGAGAAATATGTTGAGCTGCAGAGTTAACAGCCTATAAATTCCTTTCAAATCTTAAAAGCTCTCATTCCTTAGGTTTTTTTGGCTTATGACGGACTACACTAGAATAAGGGGTTTTGTTCACTTGAGAAAGTCACAAGGAGACTCCAAAAAGCTGGGTTAACATTTCACAGTCCTCACTGGAACCTTTGAAGTTGACTATTGACAATCCATGGACTCGCAAAAGACACACTGGCCTTGTAAGTTCTTGGAAAAGTTCCTGACCTGCTGACAGAAAGCCACTTTGACTGGAAAAAAAAAAAAGCAGAGCATCTTTTTATCTTTTACATTTTTCTTATGGAATTCTGCTTGGCATAACTCAATTTGCTGGACCTAATCTAATCAAAGTTTATTACTGTTATTATTATTATTATTATTTTGTCATTTTGTCTAATCTGTAACAAATTACCTCCTAACCCTCTGATTTTAGAGCCAAAGTTTTAAAGAAAAACACACCTTGATTTTACAGCATCTAATAGTCTGAAACAGACTCAATGATATTCACAGCCTTTAATAACCTACCATTTTTTTTTGTTTGGCTGTTGTACGTATTAGTCACTTTTTGAAGATGGTCTTCTTCTGACCGCACACTGATTATAAAACTGGATGGGCAAACATACAAATGGACACTGAGATCTGAACCACTTTTTTTGCAGCTCCCACGCTGTCCTGCAGAAGGCCACATAATATCTCATGTTTCTGGATGGGGACACATCCTCTTTTTTGACTGGTTATCTTTTTATTGTCGATGGACTAAGTTTGGCTTCTTGCATTTGGATTTCACTTATACCCTACTGCATCACAGGAAGTACATTCATAGGACGTCAGTCTCTGGGATTACAAGTGTTTTTTCATTACTGATGGAAACCTGCAAAACTATCGCAATACTTTACCTGGAGGGACTCTTTGCACTGATGCTTCATTACTCACAGACGCAAACACACGCATACGAAATCATACATGCAAACACACAGTCCCTCTTGCTCTCTGCATGCAGTGCCACACATCTGAGGCACAAAGGTCAGGGAACATCATCTAATGCTGAAGGATCTTATATCCGCACACTGTTCAACCTTTGGCACTGTCTTTGTAGCTACACTGGATAACTTTCCTCTCTAAGGACACATGCACAAACACGTTTTTTTCTAGTTAGTACTTTTTTCTTCACTGGATTTCATACTGTTTTTATAGGCTTCTCTTTCAAAAATCGTTCTGCACAGATCTTAAACTGTGATTGCACCAGCTTCTTATCACTCTGCTTTCTTTTCTCTCTGTTCTTCTCTACTAGCATAGCTACTGTACAGGTTGAAGTGAGCGGATGACAAAGAGGATTTCTTGTGTGTCAGTCAGTTTTATAGAGCCAAAATATAACACAAAGCAAAGTTTGGGAACTGATGCTGCATCAGTTCAGAGACCTTCACCCTCTTCTATTGGCTGTTGTGTTAATAAACATTGTATGACGTAATTCCAGGAACCACCGCAGCTGTGTGTGAATCTGAATGTAGCTTGACATTGTTATAGATCACTGGTCAGCGTATATTTTCCTGTATTTGCCTGTTCTCTTTGCCCCTGTTTTGTAGGGGCAAGACAAATGGTGGATTTCACTGTTTTTTAAATCCCCCGTGCTTTGAAAAATGAAGACAAACTACTACACAGTGTGTGTGTGTGTAGTCTTGCAAAAGGCGCCGCTTGTTTTTTAAAAATGAGGGGGTGTATTGCAGTCTTGAAAGGCCTTTGTTAGTGATTCAGTGAGAAAAGTTACAGGGAGCAGATTGTTCCCTAATAGGGATTTTCATAGGAAAAGACGCTGAAGATGATGCAAGTTCTTCCTAATCCTAACCACAAGGGCACCAATGACACTTGGGGGTCATTCTAACTCATGATAGCTTTCAATCTCATTTAGAATGTAATGATTGATCCACAGCGTTGCTCCAGGTTCAGATATCTTTTCAGCCTCCTGATGGTGTAGCATAGGCAGACCATGGAGTAACTTGAGTAGGAATGTTTCGAGGCACATAAAGAGGTCAGACTAAAGGTCAACTTGGGGAACAGAGAATGCTCACGTTGGTCTATTGTGCTCTTTGCTCTTTTAATTCAATCTACAATCACTTTTCCCTCCCCTGGAGTGCTGATTGACAAATGAGTGATTTGATGAAAAAAGATGGTGACACTACGTTGTTTTTTGGGGTGATGGCAACAATCTAAATCTTCAAAGTATTTCTGATAAAAAGGTAATAAATGATACAAAACAGTTCTGATAAGTTTAGATTGACCATCAAATTATTTGCCTAAAGAGTTTAAAAAATGATCATTTTACCTCATGAATGGGAAACCACACTGTTGCCAATCAAGTTATGAATGCTACACTTAAGTGAGAGTACGGAAATATGAACTGGACAAGGACAGACCCACATGTGTCATATGTTTACCCGGTTTTGTTCTAAAAGAGCATCCCTCTCTATTGATGTCACTCTATTCCCCATGTCAAAGTTTGTGTGTCACTAGAACATCCCTGTTCCTCCACTTCTTACGTAGGCCACCACATTGTCACCAGACTCAGTTCTCTGTATTGTTTTGCAGACTTCTCTTTTTCTGTTTCATTACAAATGTGGGCCTTCATATGATCATTTGCTGCAAAGAAGAGCCCATTATGTTTCATGTTTTCCTTTTTTTGTTACCATCTGTCTGTTTACAGTGTGAAATCCTTCCACGATTCATTTTTAATGAATAAAACTGTATTTGCGCTGATAGATGAGCTCCTGACTCTTTGTAAGCACATTTACACAAGAATGCACGCACATGGTGCTCTTGAACAATTAGAGCTAAATGAGATGGATCTTTCCTCCCAGTCTTTGCCATTCCATCCTCATATCCTGGTGGCTTAAATCCCAGAGGAGCAGGTTGGGTGAGAGATGCTATTGTTGTTGGGCGTTTTTGTTGTGGTATTGCACTCGGATAGGGGTCGGCTTGGCTTGGGAGTAACAGGTTATCAATACTTTTTATTGACTGCTGAGATGAAAGCCTGATGGATGTGTCATTGTCTGCTGTTGGTCTCCAGTGGGAAAAAAGACACACAAAGAGAGGGACAGGCAGCCATGATGATGACAATAAAAAACAGGCAGCTGATGAATGTGAATAGGACAACCTGTGTGTGTGATTTTATTTATTTATTTATTTTTGCAATGCGTCCTGAAAATAGATGAAAGGTATGGCGCCTTTGTTTAAAGGAAGACACATGTTGCCAGGAGAAGCTTATATGTTGTGGTGTGGGTGCGTATGCATGTGTAGTGGGAGGAGGATTTGGTGCAGTGCGAATCCCCTTTGTAATGGTGCAGCAATCCCCCCCCCCCCTTCCCTCCGTCTCCCTCTCCATCCAGCTCTCTCTCTGTTTCTGCACGCTGAGGTTTATATAAAAGCCTTACGTAAGACCATAACACTCACTTGTACCAGCCCACCACATCAAAGCTGGGGATGCTGACAGCACGAACGGTGCGCGTGCGTCCGTGTCAGCTGATCTCATCATTAATCTGCCGCTTGGGTGCTGGATGTGGACGCCGAGTGTGAGACATGTCGGTGCCTGTGTGCGTTTGTTTTTGGTGTACAAATCTGGCATGGGCACACAGCAGGGAGCGTTTAGCTTGTGCTGAACAACAAACTTCTTATATGAACCAGCAAAGGAGAGGACAAGGGAGTGAGTCATTGGTGAAATGCAAAGTGAAAGTGGGAGAACGGGATTTCTTGTGAGTGTGACTGAGGGTTTGTCTGGCTTCAGTGCTCTTTAACAAAGCTTTCATTTAGTTTGTTGTAACTTTTGATGAACAGAAGCCACAAGTGAGAGAAATCAGATAACGGCAAATGACAAGTGTAACAGCAGTACAAGCAAATATGCATCAGGAGATGGGCAAACTGACTCAAAGTCTGTCAAAAAATTTGGTTACACTACCTAGAAAACAAAAGGTTTGTAGTGGCAAAACTCCTAAATGTACTTTCTTATACCTTCCTTTTCCTCTTTAAGGCTTTGAATGTGTCTTATTTTCCTTAAAAAGAGTTAATATTCATGCTTTGATATTAGAGGATAGCAGTCGTGCAGGAAGTTTTCACATAAAAGTACCATAAAAGTGTCACAACATGCACTTACAGGTAAAGCGGACAACTGGCTCTTGCTTAACTTCAGCATGCTGCCAAACACACACCCCATTAGCAGCGACACTCCCTGACACAATACAGGAAAATGTCTTCTGTGACTGCTACACTATTCTACACTACATCGTGACATTATTATTTCTCATGCATTCATGTAAAAGCAGGATTTTACTGTTGTATTTGGTGGCGGTGGAGCTTGTTTTGAAACCCATTGCAGCTTATCTGCAGATTATGTTCTCCATTAATCAACAGATTGTTTGCTTTGTATACATAATTCTGAAAATAGTGAGAAATGCCTTAAACGATCCTCAAAATAATTTTCTGTAAACTGACTTTTTAAAAAAAAAAAGTACAATACTTCCCTTTGAGACTCAGTCAAATAGTCAGTAAGCAATTTAAATTTGTATTACATACAATACTTGAGAAAGTATACAAGATTAGTTATATTCCACCATTGAAGGGTTGCATGTGAGCATTCAGACACACAATTAACTTGTAATATTTTATCAGTGTGTTTGGTAAATGGTGCAGAATTGTCTATAATCTAAGCCTAATTGCTATCCACTGTTCCTAAAGCAATTAAAACTATTGAAAGTTGAATTTAGCAAAATTGGAAACTGGATTTTTTTTTTATTTTTATTTTTTTTTATTTTTAGGTTTTTAGGAGGGCCAGTGAAAGTCAAATAAACAGGTGCTGTTGGAGAAAATTGCCCGCACAGAAAGAGAAACGTGAAGATCATGCTGATAATCCTCCTCCCCTCAAAAAAAAAATATTGCCTTGATGCTAAGTAGGGTTTCCTGGCCTTGATAAATGTGTGTGTGTTGTGTGATGGAGCACCATTCAAAAGCTGTACCCCACATTCTGCATGGCAGCCTCTCCACAGTCGTTCCCATGGTAACTCCACTAGGTCAACCAATGAAAAGAGGGGGCTGGGCAGGAAGGAGGATGGGAGAGTGTTTGGGGAGGAGGAGGAAGAGGAGGTGAGGGGGGGGGGAGGTTGCTGACAGAGCGTGCGGGAGACGTGATTGGAGTTGAACTGGTGCAATAAAACATTTATACAAATACACACACATGCACAGTAAACTACATGTTGATATGCACACAAACAATAATGATTACGATCACCAATGATTGAGGTTTTGCACACATCCTCTAAACGCATCACGTCTCCGCACTGCTGGGTTTCACCTCTGCAACCTCATGGGAATCCACCCCGCCGCCACCGCCACCGCCACTGTTTTTCCTCTCTCCATTTGCGTCGCTTCGTCCTCGATCGTGCCCTCTCTCATATGATGCCACGGTTCCTCTCAGGACAACATTGTGTAATCCTCCCACCCTTCAATAATTCATCACCGTACAAGCTTTTGACTTTGTCAGTGGGTGTGTCTGTTTGCCACACCGTGAAGAAAAAAGGGCGTGCGCTAAAGTGTCACGCTTAGTGAAGCTGTTGAAAGTCGTTTCTTAAAAGAAGCACGTGTTCCCTCACTGTGACACATTCTGACTTTGACATGATATATAAAAAACTACTCGATTATGTTCCAAAGGAGCAAAATAAATTGAATTATGAAGATGAGTGATGAGAATGTTATAATCTAAGGTCACATAAAGTGAGATAATGTTCTGATAAAGAGCACAATGGCTTAAATCTAGGGCTAAATGTTGACGCAAAACTGACGTTCCACTGAAATTTAAGTTTATCTTCATGAATTTCAATCAATCCCTCATTATGAACTCAACATTATCATGGGTTGGGCCTGCCTGCAAAGTATATTGTGTCACCACTCATTTACTGGAGCAACAATGCTAAAAAATTCATGAGGAGGTTGCGTAGGCTGGGGGCCACACTACATACGTATAGCTGTATTTGAGTGTGATGTGTATTTTGGGCAGAGCGTTGTTGAATAGCCTTTCTAAAGTGTCTTCTGCTTGACTGAGCTGTCAGGTCGTATTTCTCCGACCCCTGAGGCTTCCTTGCTGTACCTGTTACCAGAAGACATCCTACATTTGGGGAGGAAAAGGGACAAACAAAACATGTAAGAAAATCTGCAGATTAAGTAAAAAACAAAAAAAAAAAGAAAAGGATTTTTGAAGAAAGTATTCAGGTCAGTCCAGCCCCTTGGCACCTCAAGGGAGAAGAGCTGAATGCTTCAGAAGGAGTGAAACTGAGCAAATGTTTCGGTTCACAGCATGATGAAGGTTTTTAATCTCTTCAACACGGATTCTGATATATTTACCCTGCTCAGAAACAAAAAAAAATTGTAATGCCGGTTTTGTACTCTAATTGCACACATGAATTATTATCAATTGGAAAAAAAAAAAAGTTTTTCTATCTCAATGCAAAAAAAAAAACACCCCAAAGAAGACAATAAATAGAATTAAGAGACATTTTTCAATAAAAATATGAATTTATTTATGTTACATATCAATGCTATGTATTTTTATTTCTCTGTTTTACATTTCTGAACAATCTCAAGAAAGCAGATTGTTCAAATTCCCCTGAGGTGAGTATTCTAAGTATAGTAGGATGTATTAGAAGTTAATTGGATCATCATAAAATTAAATTAGAACAGTCAGAATAAATCAAAACAGTATTCAATCCCCGATTTCCCTTTCAGTGACAGTCAGATCACGTCCCCATTTCAACAGACACTTTTTTGTCTTCACAAAAGTCCTTCATTCATATAATTTGACATGCATAAGTTATACAACATCATACGTTTACAGTTTAAGCATAAATTATGTTCTTTAACAATGTGTTTAATAGAATAAACAGATTCCTGTCATTTCCAGTTGCACTTGCTGATTATGGCTTTACTGCAGTCTACGTTAAATGATGATTGGCTTACAGCTGTCCAATCAAATAGCTTTGTGTATCTGGATGGAGTCAGATGTCAGTAATTTAGATATCCTTGAAAAGTTATGGTGATTGGAAAGGAAGATCTGAAAAGGTCATAATATAATAAAGGCACTCTGGCATATAAGCACATTTTATTCTATTGCATCTACAGATAACTAAACCTGAACAGATTTAAAGCAGAGATCAAATGAAAAAGTGAATTGCAGGATCTTCTGTGTAAACAAACTGTCACAATCAATAATGTTTTAAAATTGGATACTGTTTGTCCTTCTTTACCCTTTTGTTTCATGAGCGGCAGGTTTGTGGGTTTCGGTTACCTGATGTGATCCTTGGAAAGCTTCCACATACAGAGAACTAGACGAACCGGTAACGAAAAGATTGTAACTGACTGCCAGGAAAATTTGCAGTTTTAGAAATGGGAACAAGTGAAGAAAACAAGCACATCTGCTGATGAGATAGCAAATAATAGTTGTTACATTTTGGCTTGAATCACAAATCCACTGAATAAATGTACGCACGCAGCTTGTTGCTCATTCACAGTGTGCTTCTGGCATAATTGTTTAGTTTTGATGTTCACTGGCAAGCTTAGTTCTGGACAGTGGAAGACAAAGTTCAGTATGATTCTTTTTAAATACATTTAAAAAAATGTTTCTGAACACAAGACATCATCACATATGTGGTTACTGTGCAGAATGCTGCTTTTGCATGACAAAAGACTGTAAATAAATATAAGCAGTGAATCCTTCCTTCAAAAAAAAAAAAAAAAGAATAAAAATATACACAAATCACTGCATTACTGCCACAAAAATCATTGTCCCATTACTATTTCTAACCCACAACAGTTAAAAGCAGTAAAATAACAATAAAAACAACTTTCAACAAAAAACAGAACAACAGGTTTCTCACTGTCATCGTACCTTTCCTGTGTGGCCCATATTTACAACAGCAATGACAATAAAAATATAAAAGCTGTTGCATTTCTTTAGACGCCCAGCATATCTGTTGTCCTTAGTAGCAATATAACTAGATTAGAGAAATTATTTCTAAAAGTAAATGTAAAACAAGACACAGAAGTCCTTTACCAGTCACACATTCTGAAATGCTGTACCTCCTTAAAGTGGTAGGCCTTAATACTTCTGTGACCAGATCAATATGTTCTTCTAAATGATGGTAAAGTTCTGACTCACAAATCTGAAGTTTTTGAACTCTTTCTTTTATATGTTTCTCGGTTAGACACTGGATAATTTTAACATTTACTGAAATAAAACCATGTGAGGCGTTGGTGGCGCTGGTGACAACTCTTAGACATCTGAACACTCTGACGACACACTGCTTTATTTTAAGATGTCAGAAGCCAAAAAGGTTACAAACCACTGGTTTAATCTTTGATAAAGTCTTCTATTTTACCTCAAAGTGCCTTAAAATTGTATTCAAGTACCATACAGGAGTAAAAGTCCAAATATTAGTTCACATGTTTCCATCTCTACAAGCAGACTGTTGTGTCTCTGTCAAATTCATTTAATTCCAAATGTAGTTCTAAACTTTTTTTCTCCCAATTCAGTCAGAACTGTGAGAGCATTAGTTACGGATGAAGAATTTTTCACATTTGGACAAAAATGATTGTCATTTAAAGACTGTGCTAAAGCAAATAAGAGTTAAACTAAACCTATGTTTGTCATTGTCATAAAATGTACATTCACGATACCGTATGTTCACTCGGTGTCCAACATAAGCTTACACCAAGACACACAACTGTCGTCACTCAATCAGCGACTTCATTGTCTTCACTGAATACCTTTGCACTTGACAGACTGAAAACAAAAACAAACAAACAAACAAAAGAAAAATTCCTATGACTTCCCACTCTGCCTGCTGTTGGCGTCAACGCCCTATCATACTTGAACTTGCTGTGTGGCACTTACTCGGATTGTTTTCTCCTGACTTGATCCTTCTTTGTGTTGTATCTACTCTCAGATGTAAGTTGCTTTGGATAAAAGCGTCTGCAAAATGAAATTGTAGAATTTTACCAAAGACCCACCAAACAGAGTACCACCCACTTTTTTTTGAGTTCTGAGACTGAAACATAAATGAATCAATAAGGAACAGCGGTTCAGGATCCACAGGTTGCATCCTGGTTTAGCTTGCTGGAGCTTTAATGTCCACAGTGATAAAAGTGTACAATGCATGCTTCACAGTCTCCTTGACAGTGTATGCAACGGAATTAATCCCATCTTTATCCATGGTCCGCTGGGTATGTCTCAGTTTGTCAGGATTCTTTGGATTGGGCTCATTGTGCAAGTCTCGGTTATGTTTGATCATCCTGTACTTTCCAGTTACAGTGTCAGGCCGAGAAACGGTCATCCCACGGAATATGACTCGTTTATAGATATCGTCGTCCTCACCACCCCAGCCCCAGTAAGAGTTGGGGAAGCCATTAATTTTCAAGAATTGATCCTTGAAAAATGAAGAGACCCCACCGAAGTAGGTGGTGTAGGGTAAGTGGAAGTTAAATTTGTCCATAGCCACCGCCAAGTGCCTTGGACTGTTAAAACATCTGTAGATGTTGCGGTCATCTAGGGGAACCAGGTCTACGTCAGAGAAGACAAAGCAATCGTAATCATATTCCTTCAGGACTTCCAAATATCCTGCATTCATCAGCTTAGCCCGGTTGAACACTCCATCTCCATCCTGGTTGATGACATACACACCGTAGTCCAACTGCTGCCGCATCAATATAGGATGGAGGAAGTAAAGCCAGTGTTTCAGGTGCTCGTCTCGGTTTCGGAATGGGATAATAATTGCCACCTAATCAAAAGAAAGTGAAGGAAGTTTGGTTCAATAAATGTCTTTTAGCCTTTTTTAAAAAAAATTTTACGTAAAGGAAATGCATGACAATGTGTAAAATACTTTCACCCTCTGTCTGTTTTCTTTTTGTCCGTTAAATCAAATTTTTCCTTACTGTGGATTCATTTTTTTACCATAAAAAGTATGTGTCTAGAAGTAGAGAGAACTCAAAAGCTGGAATGAAAAAAAAAATCATTTAAAAATAAAACGCAAAAGTTGAATCTGTTGAATTATGCAACTTACAAAAATGTTTAAAACCTGGAATCAGATTGTACAACTTTTTTCTTCAAGTGTCACTAGGTGCTGCCAGTGTTGGAAAAACATCAACAATTGATTCTACATCCATCCATCCATCCATCCATCCATCCATTATCTATACACTTTTAATCCTCACTAGGTTCATAGGGTCACAGGGAGGCTGGAGCCTATCACAGCTGACTTATGGCGAAGGCAAGGGACACCCTGGACAGGTCACCAGTCTATCACAGGGCTACACTTAAAGACAGACAGCCAAGCACACTCACATTCACACCTTCGGACAATTTAGAACCACCAATTAACCTCAACATGTTTTTGGACTTTGTGGGAGGAAGACGGAGAACCCGAAGAGAACCCACGCTGCACGGGGAGAATATATAAACTCCAAACAGAAAGATCCCGGGTGTCCTCACCGGGACGCGAACCGGCGACCTTCTAGCTACGAGGTGACGGTGCTAAGCTACCTTGCAGCCCTTGATTCTACATACTTTAGATATTTTCATTTGTTTCCATTTATGTCTCCTTTCTGCTCCATGTTTAGCCCAGTTCAGCTAAAAAATTATTGTAACTAGACTGTTGTCACAGTTGAGTTGCTCATGGCATCACGGTTGCACTTGGGGGTCTCATAAGTGCAAATGATTTATTTTGGCAATTTTTTAAGAGGGACACGTAAAATAAAGGTGCTTATTGACACAGATGTACAGTTCATGGATTATGAGAAAGTTGATTATTTTTTACTGTTTCTACAGTTTCTGGCTTTGATAGATAGTGCCGGTTTGATGATTGTTTTTTAAAGACAACATGTCTTTCAGACCCATGTGTGATTTTGGTGTTAAGGCTTTACAACCTCAGTACTTTTTCTCAGTTAGGAATAATGTCAAAACAATCTCTCATATTTCATATTGTGTCACAGCGTGGGCTCAAGCATCAGACAACCTACATCCTTGTAGTATCAGGCTCTTAAGGTTAGGCTGAAGTAAGATCAAGTGACATAACATCACACCCAAAATCCTGACAGCGTAACTTGAAGCCCAGTGATTTGGACACGTCACGAAAAATCACATTCGGAATATATAAAATCTTTCAAAACAAGGTTTAAAGGCGACCTAAAGACAAACCACAACTGTAGCATTTTTTCTAATTGCATTTTTTTCATATGCATCATAATTATTGGAGTCAGTTATGAGTTCGTCATTGTCCTTCCATGTCCATGTTGAATTGTATTGCGTGTGTAAAGAGAGTTAAGAATGAGGAAACTCTTTAAACTCTCAAGGTCTGCATTAGAACTACAGTGAAGTGCATCATCCCAGGCCAAAAAAGAATACATTTAAATTCAGTTTATTGTTGAATGTTGTGAATGTGAATGTTATCGGCAGAAAAAAAATAATAATTAAAAGAAAAAAAAAACTTTACTTTCTAAAAGGATAAAATAAACACGTAAATAAACATTTAAGTGGTATTAACCTTGATACTTAGTGACTTATAAAACGTCAAGACCATCAGTGACTGTGAGTATCATCTGTTTTCACATTTCTTTTTGATTTTCTTATTTGTACTTGTTGAAATGTTAAGAGAAAAAGAAGATAGAAGCAAAGTAACAAAAAAAAGGAATATTAAATTCAATGGAACATTAAAAAAATCATGTAAAAGGTGACACATAGAATTAAATAGTAAATGTTAAGAGCCTGCTAAATACAAGATAACTGTTCCAGTCATGTTACATTTAGTTTTTACACATCACACTATATAAGTGAAATACAGTAGTTTTAGTTTATCTGTTTTTAAGATAAATTCCAAGTACAAAAAACACTCCCAAATCAAGCAGTTTCTTTTTATATATTCACTGGCTTATTTATTCATTTGCTTACCTTCTGTAGTGCGGTACAATCTGGTGGCTTGTACCGTCCTCCCTCCTGAAGAAAAGGACTAATCTTATTTTTCACCTCTTCCAAAGTCAGACTAAAGTTAAATTCCACTCGGAGAGGACCCACAAGTTTCGGAGACTGATCAGGACAGGGTGCCAAAGGCTTCTTCGTAGGGGTTGGCTTCTGCATCATTTCTTTGCTGACTTTTGGGGCTTCAGTCTCCTTTGCCAACACGTGCTGAACATCTTTTACCCTCCAGAAAAATGAGTTGTTTCCATTTTCCACAGGATATGGCTTTGTGAAAAAAGTCAAAAAGCCGTCTTGGCTGTAGAATAAAACCGCAGCAAAAGATGCCAGGCTGAGGAAAACAAAAGCTGCCAGAAATATGAAGACGTTTTTCATCATTTTTGCCATCCTTGACACTGAGTATTGTATACTAAACAGCCAGCTTAGAGCTCTACTGCCTGCATTTCTCTTTGTCAAAGGTGTTCCCAACAAAAGAGCGACCAGGTCGTTTTTTATTTCCTGCAAACAGCTTCTTTTGTCTAGGTCAGCTGATCAGGTTGGGTCTCATACCTGTGGTTAATATTTAATCATGATAGTGTTTTCTTCCTGTTGCACCTGAGACGTGTTTCGGTTCAAGGTGGATTACAATGTGCTGGAGTGTGCCAAAAACACAACTCTCATATCAGACTTCTCAGTGCTTTAAGACTAACAAAAAAAAAAGTCACACATTAAAGGAAGAAGTGCTTGATTATCATACGGAAGAGTTCACTTTGAAAAATATCAAAAAGATAATACAGCAACAATTTTGTTACTACAAATAAAAAATAGCAGTACTCATATGTTGTCACACTGGGCCCTCTACTGGTGCGTGATTGATGGTGCAGCGTAAAATCTGACAAACCAACAGGTTCCTTCTAGCCCTTTGAGAAGTACTCAGGAGAAGCTGTCAGCCCTCAAAGACGTCCACAGCCAGATCCTCTTGTGTAAATCTCAGATATGATCCAGGAAATAAAACTTGTCCATGTCTGCTCCTTGAAATGTGTAAATGTCCATGTGATTCTGTCTGCTACCCGTATTCTTCTGATGTAAGTCCTAGGGAGGCAAAAACCTTTAAAACAGTACAACTAGCTGGACAAAACCATCCCTTGCTAAGTGAAAAAAACAGAACGAAGTATATTTCTACCTCAAGCACACTTCCCCCCTTGAACGTCACTGATAACTACCCTGCCCTGCAGACTTCCTATTTATGTGCAGGCTAACCAACCACAAGGTCAGTGAGGGGAGGGCCAGCCAAACTGAGGACATTGGTCCACCATAAATGTTGACAAATGGGACTGGTGCTCGTTACAATGATCACACCCACCTTGACTTTGCTTTAAGCTGGAACAATGCATACAGAGATGAACGGCGGCTATAGCTGAGTAGTTTAACTTGTATGATGTGATTGTGTACAGAACACCACAAACTGGAGTATGTTAAGCAGAAGAAGACAAAAAAAAAAGTACAATATAATGGTAGGATAAGACATGGCATTAAAGATATTCTATGTTTTGTGTACACATTTGCAGGTTTCAGGTTTCCATTCAGGATTTAAGGGTGTGGTGTAACAGCCAGTCTGAGTATGAATCAGACGAGTGCGCTTCCTTGTTATTTGCTTACTGCATTAAACTTGGAAATATAAAGTTTGCTATCTTTTCAGTTATCGTGTTGATCAGGTGTGATTTTCTGAAAATCCATTTTTTAAAAATTCGTTATTATCTTACAATCCATACAGTCCATATAAAACCAAGCAACGGCTTTGTAGGATGTTGAGATTTTCCCAAATCGGTTTAAATTCGACTAAATATAAACAAAAAGATATAATTCAAATTATAACTGATTTATAGAGATCTATCTCTACTATTTAATTATTTAATAGTACTGGATTGAGTGTGATACAGAACACATGGCGTTCTGTTTTCATTAAATAAACACAGCATAAACAGCACTGGGATGCGGCATTTATGTAACATCGGTACACAAACTTCCCTCCGAAGCGAAGCAGCCAGTTTAAGTCGAATGACAAACAGAGACTGTGTATATTTAGAAGCATTTAAATATTTTAGCTAATATTCAAACACAAACAAATGAAGTGCTGTCTGGAACTGGTCAGTGAACGCAGCTTACCTTTGACAACATTTGATTCACAGGAAACAGCTGTCTGGTTCTCTTTCGCAGAAAATGTCAGTTACAGGGCAGGAAGTCTTTTGAAAAGTACATTTATCTATTTGTCAATCATTTTGCCAAAATTTTCAATGAAGTTCAGAGAGCTGTCGAGAAATGTAAGTTGACAGTTTCCCTTCTTATTTTTGGTTTCAGCTGCCATTAATAGCTCATGATATACAAACAGACTGTTTAGAAAAATGTGTGGCAACTACCTTGATATTTGGTATGAAACCAAATATTTTGAGGATTTTCCTTCTTTAGAATAATAAGTGACTATTGGTGATGTTATTTAAACTTTTCAGACATAATTCTAACCTTGCAAGGTGTCAATATATTTATGCAAACTCATGCTGCGGTTGACTTGGACACTGCTATTTACAAATGCAGCACACCTTGTCCAAGTCTTTGCTTTGACCATAATATCTCGCCAAGAACACTGAAAATAGAGGCAGAAATGGATAAAACAATACCATGCCATCATTTTTGCTAAAGTTTAAGAGAATGTTTTTAAGTAATCAAGTGTTATCCACAGCACTAATGTTCTGTTCTCCAGGAAAACTGCTTTTGTAAGGCTTTATTTTGGGGCATTTTTGCATTCATTTTGGAGGATGGGAGACAGAGATCATCCATTTTTCAATTCTGACTATTGTAGCTATTAACCAGCTGTCTAAATTATCCTCAGTTCAACTTAAAGTCAAAATCCTTTAATTTTCAAACCTTGCTGTTCCCTGCAGCAGTGAGAGTTCAACAGCAGGAAGTGGAGTTATCTTTTTGCTTCAGTCAGCTTATCATAAAACTTGCAATCATAAAATCTGTCTGACAAATACGGTTACAACAAGTATTGCTCCCAGTGTGCAGGCTCTGTTTTGAATAAACTTTACTATTCTTCATGACTCGAGTAAGCTCACCTGAACCATGGCAAAACAGGCAAAACCAGGTACCTCTGAAGCCACAGGAGTCCTATTACACCTGTCCAACACTATCCCCATGACCTTGTTGACATTAAATATGCAGGAGGTTGACGTTAAACCTTGCAAACAGTGACCCCTTGTGGTCCTTCTGTGTTTTTAGGAAGCTGTCAAAACTCGGTTTACGGTTTCCTTAAACTGCACCGCTGTTTATCACAGAGCAAAAACATTTAAGTGTTGAGCATTTTTTGCATGTGACCCCTGGAAGCCACGCCGCTCTGTATATTTAATGCACCAAGGTTTTAACCACCTTATCATTTAAATACAAGCATTGTCCTAGCTGACATGAAAAACACTAGTTGTCTGAACTAAAATTGGTGCATCGAGTAGGGTTTGGTCAAAAAAAGGGATTCTTAAAGGAGCGTGGTGTCCCATTTAGCGATGGCTGCTTGTGTGGTTCAAAGACAGCTGAAATTATGGCAGTGTAATGTTCTCTGTATAAGCTGTGTCTGCTGTCAGAGTTTTGTCAAACTGTGGAATTTTCTGCTTTTGTATTGTCATTTTCAACTGTTCCTATCAGTGTATAATCCAAATATAAGTTTGTTGAGGCTAATTAGGGTCCACAGTGTATTCACTATAGATTCCATCCACCAGCTGGTTACACTTAAAGCACATAAGAGGTGACTTTAGGTTGTGTTACTGACATTGCTGTAAAAGAAGACTTGAAAAAAATAGGCAAATTTTCCCACATTCTCTAATTTTCCCAGGGCTTTGATGGAGATTAAACAATTTACTATGGTTCATCGTGTTCACCCTGGGGATTTCTTTTTGTTTTCATTACTGCTTCAGTTATGTGATATACATGGTTAATATGTTGATGTTGGCACTCAGCTGAACTTGAGTTCTCAGGCCTGAAAAATAGCCCGAAGTGCAAACCAAGATATCACATGTTTGCTTAAATCATAATTCTGTCTAAAAGCATTCTGATAGAAACCAAAAAAGACCCCTCAAAAGCTTGAATGTTTTTCCAGCCTCAAAAGCACCTATCAGACAGAATAATGATTATCAACTGTTTCAAAGGTTTTAAAAATAGAGTATATATCTCATTTCTATAAAATGAACTGCTGTTTCTGTCAAAACTGAAGTGACAATGTGCTTTGCAAAATATTAAAATACAAATAATTACTAAGCAATGATCAAACATAAAAAGAAGGCAACAAAACATGAGTAAAGACAGAGCAACATTAAAAAGTACAATACATTATAAAATGCCTCTCTGTACAGGTGGGTTTACAAAAGCTTTTTGAACTGATGCACTGACTGAGATTTTCTGTTAGAAGAAGCTTCCCTCCAAACCCATTTTAGGATATTTACCACATCCCTGCTTTGCATTAAAAAAAAAAAAAAGTTTAATCAGCTACTTACAGACCCTCAAATTTATATAAACTTGTTCTCTCTCATGTAAAAAGAGACTCAATAAATAGGCAAATATTCTACATAGCAAAAAAAAAAAAACTGCTTTGCTGGACAAATGATGTTTCCTGCATCATTCTGCAGCTCTCATGTTTGCATATCACACCTGCAACAGTTATGATTTTCTTCTAGAAGATAAATGTAAAAATAGTCTTCTAGTCAAACTGCACAGGCGGCGTTTTTCACCTGGATGCTCCAAGTAAAGTAACTAAAAGAAAAACACATTTTTGATTCAAGTGGAGTCTAGTTTATTCTGTGAAAACTTTGGCTTATAAAGTTATAGATCGAGCACAGGCAGTCATATATATATTACCACTAGATGGTGCTAATGTATCACCAATGAGAAATGGGCCTGTGCGCAACATTCTACTGGAGTTCTAGTCTCTTAAGCAAACTAACAGTTACATTTCCATGACTTTGGAGAACAATAAATTGACTAAATCTAATACTAAACCAAGTCTTAATACAAAAATGTAATGCTTGCCTCATCAGGACTTGGTTTCTGTTCCCAAAAGAGAGGCAAAGTCCCACAATGTGACTCATAGATAAGACATGTCCATACGCACACATGTATACATGAATATTATATATGTATTTTTACTGTATATACATATTTTTGTGTGTAACTGCACATGCGTGTGTCTTTCTGCGACAACTCTGCCCTCTGTTTTAAACCACACTTTTGGATAAATGGGCTGCTGTTCACAGAGAAATCTGATCCTGAGGCCTGTATAGATGGAATCCAGCTTTGGTTTGAAAATTTTAATAGATTTTTTTTTTCTTACACATCCCCCTGACTGCTTATTTTTGCTGCTCCCACCGACTCGAGTTTGAGAACGATGCTTACCGAGACACATTTTGCTTTTGTATCCAGGAAAGTTGACTTGTTGGATGGACAGCCAACCCAAACTGAGCTAGCGGGACTGGTAAACCCCTGCTGATTTAGCCACACAAGCCTTAGCTGGCACCGTGGCATCCGTCTGGAAGTGGGCGGATCTGCTTTTTTTGGACCCATGTTTCTACATTTTACTTAGCATGCATGCTTGTGGTGTCAGGGCGACATTTATGCAAAACCGATATCATTTCTTAATTGAATAGAAGAGCACAATTTTAAAACTAGTACTCTGACATTTTTGCAGTTTCAATCAGGGTTTTGCAAACAATAGCTCTGTAGCACAATATAAGTGTAATTTAGAGAATCGGTGCAGTAGGATGTGATGTGTATTTTGATAAGACACCACATACATGCAGTTCATTTCTCAAATTACAGGGACTTTCTCACACTCAGTTAAGTTTCATATTCAATGTATTTGATACTAAAAATGGCTGTAAACAGCTCTGGTATTTTCAGTCAGGCATGACAATGGTGCCAAGAGCAGAATAACAACACAGGAGGACAGGCACAAGGTGTTATTTAACAAAATATGTATGTAAATGTAGCATGTTTTTCTACATTTTTGTAGCTTGAAATGTCCTAGTGTAGACCCTCACAGGATATCCAGAGCTTGTAAGAGGCATAACAACATGTCCATGTACGCCCGCCACCATCTGAAAATTTGAATACACTGCATACACGCATTCTCTGCAGTCGTATA